ATAACAAGTTGAAATTCGATCTTGACATTGGAAACAGCAGTTGACAAAAATGGATCTCAAGGTCAAATTTAGTGACTGTTCAGACTGGGTTGCACCAGCTATTTGTAAATCCTCCCTAAACTTATTAACTACAAACTAGTAATTGATTAAATTAGAATGTCCCACCTAGCAGTAAATGTTAGTAAATAATTTGTATGTAAGAACTAGTTTGTGTGGGCAACCTGTTTTTATTTAGCAATGCAAAGATCTCTGTTGGGTTGTAACGACGGTGGCTAAGTTTGAACTTAATTAGAAGCTGGTGCAACTGGCTCCTGGAGCTTCCAATTATATCGCCTTCATCAGCAGATGGACTTTGCTTTCCAAATTACCATTTTCCCCCCCTGAGCACATTAAAAAGTGACGTCTAAAGTTCAGTCTTGATCTTGGCAACAGCAGCTGACAAAACAATTTCCCCCTCAAGGTCCACATAGTGGGTTAAGTATAAACTCATGCCCAAAGAAAGATATTTCATAGAAAAACAACCATTGTCTGTAACTGGCATTCACAGGCTGCACTGTGGCAGAGCGGTAACCATGGCAACAATCAGCCTCTGGCCAGCCATCAACAGTTTAATCGGCAGCAAATTAAATGTAAAATTAGAAAAAGAAAATCTTCCACGGCGAGTGGGTGTTTGTCGGTGAGAGCAACGTCTTATCACATCAGCGGGTCTTTCAGATGAACTCTTAACTCAAGCTCAGTTGAAGGCACCGTTGATGTCAGAGGTATGAAAAATTCATTCGGCAATCCTCAAGATATTTTTTTACTTTGGACTAAAGTGTTTGACCGACAGATCAAACAAACAACATGGCTACAAAAAGAAAATGCCACAATGTTCCTGCTTCAAACCAGCAGCAGCTTGAGCACAGTAATGGAGTTGGAGAGAAAAACACAAAACAGCATCATAACTCCCCCAGTCTGCCTCTTATTTTCCTCACAGCAGCATTAAGTTGAAGAAGAGGAAGCGCAGATGACTGCCGAGCAGGAAGGAGATTCATTTTGCGCTGTAAGTGGAGCAGAGCTGATGGCTGGAGAAAGGGGGCGATGGTAGGGGCACAAAAGGATGTCATCTGGAGGGTATTTTTAGAGTGTGAGGTGCACTGATAACTGGCTGCCATTGCAATCTGCCTGCAGGTTCCCAGCAATAATAACTGCACTCATTCTGCAGATTCACTCAGAGTGAAATCCTCTCATGCAGAGAAACACAGGCAGGCTGATTGACTCTCTCGCTTTCTTATACACAAACACACACTGCCGTATACGCAAAAATATGGAAGTTCATAAGTGACAAAACTAAGTGAGCATAAAAAAACAAACCAACGCTCCAGCAGGTCAAGATTTTAGAGTGGGATTTGTAGATAAATTACAGCTAGCAGAAGAGGAAAGCAGAAAAAAAGCTCATCAGCTTCTTTAAGTTATGTTGTATATTATTAGACTAATAGCTGAACCAGGAAACAGGACTCAAATGCACAACTCAAGACAGAAGAGCTCCATAAAACATTATTTTACTTGTCAAGTCCAGTATACAGAAATACAACTGATCAGGCAAACAAGTCCAAAAGGGTAAAGGCAAAGTCAAAAGACTGGCAGAAATTAAATAATAAAAAATACCAAAGCACCTGAAACACAACACTGGAAAGCTTGACACAAAGGAAAAAGACGAACTGGCACAGAAGTGAAGGAACGCAGTGATTGTATACTCTACAGGATGTGCAGGTAATCAGGGTGGGGCAAACAATCACTAACAGCAGGAAGTGAGATCTGAAACGAGAGGGAGAGGTAAGTACAAAATAAAACAGGAAGCACACTCACAAAATGATAATTTCACAAGAACTGAGACACGCCCCTCTAATCTGTGCTTTTTTTTTTACTCGTCAATTACTAATTTTATTTCTTTGGGCTTTCATTTGAATGAAACAAAACTCATTCTTTGGTGGTCAACTGGTAGACAATTGCAACCAGTAGAAATTGTTTTGTTTTAAGCAGTATTGGAAGAAGTATTTAGATCTGAGGTGGTAGAAGTACATACAATCTGTATTCAAGTAGAAGTACAGATACTAAATTAAATAGAAAATTACTCTGGTAAAAGGAGAAGTACCTTTATGAACTTTTATTCAAGTTAAAAAGTAAAAAAGTAAACAGTTGACGTCAGACGGACATTTCTACTGGCGGTTTCTGTTAGAGCTATCTCCCTCTCTTGTCTGTTTCCATGCACGGGTCTTGATGTTGGGAGGGTGCACCAATGATGCCAAAAAATACATCAAAATAATCAATAATTCCCCTCAAATTCATTAAAACTAGTTTAACAAGAAATTACAGATATTTGTGTAAAAATGAGTAAAAGTAAAAAGTACAGATACCTAAAAAAACTACTTAAATACAGCAATAAAATATACTTCACTACTTCCAACCTCTGAATATGAAGCGTCAACAGGACAACTCAGACTGCTCCTTTACAATAGAAATGTAAAAATAAAACTATCCTTCGAGGAACTTGTGAAAATCATGAGTAGAACCAATGCCCCTTCACAATAAAAGGAGTCCAAGTACATGTCAGGACTGCCTTCTCACAGGAAGACATCCTGGGTGATCAAAATGGTAATAAACCCCAGATAAGACCCATAACTCACTGAAGGAATTATATACCATCTAATCTGGGAGCAGCTGTTAGAGGACATGACTGGAAATATGTCTGCTTATACTGCCACTGAAACCCAGAAATGTGACAGGAAGTGACCTTATTTATAGACGGACAGATGTGTGTTACAGCAGGTTAAGTATGTTGAGAATACATTCTGACATTCGTTAGAAGGCAGGGTCTAATAGGATTGCACTTCACCTCCAGGTTCAAATCTAATGGATTTTACTCTCAGTGAGTTTTTGCATGTGGATGCAAAATGCAAAACACTGCATGCATCTTTGAAGATACCAAACACAGTTCCTGTTGGATGAAAACACTGATTACTCGGCTATCAAAATTCATCAGGAGCATAAACCTTAAATACGCCTCTCAAACCTTGACTTGTAGTTTGATAAATGCTAAAATATTTATTATTTGTACAGTAGAAGTAGTAGTTACTTTAATTTTGTGATACTAGATTACTGGCTATATTTCTAACTAGTAACTGTATGATTAATTTTTTTAAGTAACCCTCCCAACCCTGTATATAGTCTATAATACATTTATATAGTGTGTCATCTCCACCTCCTCTCTGGGTTATTTTAGGGATGATAGCACCACCTGCTGGTGATAAGCGTTCAAAATAAATGAGCATGAAATAAATAAAGAATTTGTTTTTTTAAAGACTCTGAGTCTCTTTACTTTCTGCATTAAGCTGTAATAATACTTACAATAATGAATTAATAGGAAAACTTATAAGAAGAAGATTTAATGCTCAAATATAACCTGCACAAGTTAATGTGGATGTCTGCTATTATCCACTTGCACACCCTTATATACTGACATTTGTTCATGAACGTTGCTTTGTTTGTGCAGTTTAACGACTAAACAACATCTGATAACTACAGAAGCTCATTTCAGCCAATGTGACAGGGAAAAAAATGATTCTGTAAATCATTATAATGAGAAACTTTCTCAATATTTTGACTTAGTATCTCAAAATAAAGAGAAACCTATTATATATATTTTGACTTTTGACTTTGAGATACTAAGTCATTATCTGGGCTTCCATAGATACCAGCTCATGTTATGTGTATTATCCACTGACAGTATATATAAGTATTATCCACTGACAGTATATATAAGTATTATCCACTGACAGTATATATAATATATTATCGACTAACAGTATATAATATATTTTCCACTGACAGTATATATAAGTATTATTCCACTATATAAGTATTATCTACTGACAGTATATATAAGTATTATCCACTAACAGTATATATAAGTATGACAGTATATATAAATATATTTTCCACTGACAGTATATATAAATATATTTTCCACTAACAGTATATAAAAGTATTATCCACTAACAGTACATATATAAATATTATTCCACTGACAGTATATATAATATATTATCGACTAACAGTATATAATATATTATTCCACTAACAGTATATATAACAGTATTATTCCACTGACAGTATATATAAATATATTATTCCACTAACAGTATATATAAATATATTTTCCACTAACAGTATATATAAATATATTTTCCACTAACAGTATATATAAATATATTTTCCACTGACAGTATATATAAATATATTATTCCACTAACAGTATATATAAATATATTATTCCACTAACAGTATATATAAATATATTATTCCACTAACAGTATATATAAATATATTTTCCACTGACAGTATATATAAATATATTATTCCACTGACAGTATATATAAATATATTATTCCACTAACAGTATATATAAATATATTATTACACTAACAGTATATATAAATATATTTTCCACTAACAGTATATATAAATATATTATTCCACTGACAGTATATATAAATATATTTTCCACTAACAGTATATATAAATATATTATTATACTAACAGTATATATAAATATATTTTCCACTAACAGTATATATAAATATATTATTATACTAACAGTATATATAAATATATTATTATACTAACAGTATATATAAATATATTTTCCACTAACAGTATATATAAATATATTATTATACTAACAGTATATATAAATATATTTTCCACTAACAGTATATAAAAATATATTATTCCACTAACAGTATATATAAATATATTATTCCACTGACAGTATATATAACAGTATATATAAATATATTTACCACTAACGTTATATATAAATATATTATTCCACTGACAGTATATATAACAGTATATATAAATATATTTACCACTAACGTTATATATAAATATACTCTCAGACTCTCAGACTGTCACTTCCGGCTGTCAGTCAACCTCTGACCCACCTGACTCGGACGTTAGCGCGCACAGCGGAAGTGAGCGCTGCTGACAGACATGGCGTGTTTGCTAGCGAGCAGCGGTTCTCGCTCCACAATGTTTTCCTCAACGCGGCGAACCAAACCCCGCTCATGGACGAGCTGCTTACTGCTGGCGATGTGTTTAACGTCGCTGCCAGTCTCGGCCAAGCGGGACAGCCTCCGGGAGGTGACCGACGAGAACTGGGAGGAGATCCTATCCGGAGAATGGATGATTGAATTGTGAGTGTAACGGACCAGCTAGCACGTCAGTTAGCTATTTTAACGAGCTTACTTTGTCCTGTTTGACCGTGTCCTGTCACATTAAAGCCTAAATACTCTCTTTTATCTGACCTGTTGCTTTTTTATATCTTCCTCTATTCGCTCCTGTTGTAATAATGTGTCGCCGTGATAACAACTGCCCTCTTCTGCTAACTTAAGTGAACCACAAGCTGCTGCTAATCTTCAATACGTTTTTTTTTTTTTTTTTTTAAGCTCGTACTCGGTGGTTATCTTTCTCCACCTTGATGTGAGTGACTGTGCAGTTTATCAGAGGCTTTAAAAACGTGTGAAACTTGATATCCCGCAGCTACGCGCCCTGGTGCCCGGCGTGCCAGCAGCTCCAGCCGGCGTGGAAGGAGTTTGCGGACTGGGGGGAGGACATGGGGCTCAACATAGCCAAGGTGGACGTGACTGACCAACCCGGTAGGCCATGAATGACCTTTTAACAGCTGACAATGCTACATGCATAACAAAACAGGAGTGCAGTGATGTCCATGCAGTGCAAAATAGTCAGAGCATCTTGCAAGAGCTCTGCAGTAAACAACAGTCAGCTGAGGTTATATATATATATATATATATATATAGTTGTTGTTATAACTGTGTGTATTGGCTATATTGTGACTATTGTTTTCTTTGATGATGCGGTCATTATTTGTAAGACCTTTCTTCCTGTAATGTTGTTTAACGTACACACTGTTGATTATGACAACAACATTTATAGGATGTTTTTTTTCTAATACTTTCCATTGAGGATGAGCCTGGATTCAATATATGAACCTAGGGCTGCACTATGTGGTAAAAAACAATCATATTACAGATTGCGATATGATTCGCGATTAATGTGAATGCATTGTTTTGCACCTCATTATAATTTTCACTGGAAATAAAACCCGGAAATTCATGTTGATGTGACATTTGTTGGTGTCTAAACCAAACAAACTGGTTTTCTTAAATCTGGAGAACAACATTTGTGGGCCAGGAAATCTCAGCAGCACAACAGTGCTTCGTTATTTTACCTTTATCAAAAAAATACTGCAGCTTCTTGCGATTTGGGTATTGCACTCGACCGTATAGCGATTTTGATAACATTGTGATTAATTGTGTAGCCCTATAAGAAACAATGTAATTCAGCAGCTCTACAAACCACAGCCTCCAAAATGACCTCAAAGTTGATTCAATACCTCTCTGAAACGGTTTTAACAGCAACTACTACTTAATGTTTCAGTTCCAAAGTGAATGAGTTGTTTACCAATTAAGCTCTCTATCATGGTAAATGCCATTTACTGTAGTAACGTGATATATGATACATAGTATATCTGTCTGGAAAATCTATTGAGAGACTGTTTATATGTAAAATATCTAGTCAGAAATGTCTGTTGAATGCCATAAAACTATTGTTATGTTGTCAACAATGGTCTAAAATCCCCAGAAATGTAAAAGGAAGGGTTACACAGTCTTGATAGTACAGCAAACTCTCTTATAGTTTACAAATGTATATAATCTCACAGTATTTAACATCATATACTGCAGTTAAATGCTTATGCCAGTGACCTGTATGACTCATGTGTCTGAGTTTTGAAGGCAACTTATAGACGTACAAAGATGCCAGATAGTTGTTACTGCATCAGTTTTAGTCACTGCAAGGTTTTGTGATTTTTGCATGAAGAATTGTCTCAAAAACCCTGACAGCATGCTTATCCATGGGACTCTTAAATGATTGACTGAGACTGCTGATTTAGTTAGCAAACTTCCTGAGACTGAAACTGCCTACAGCCTGAAAAATGACACCTTTTTTGAAAGTCAAGAAATATCTGTATGAGCTTAAATAAAGTGCTATTCAAGTCAGGGCTTCAATATTTGACTGTACTGTGTGTTAGTCTTGTTCCAGGCCTGTATAAAATGTCAATATTAATGGTAGCCAGCGCCAGTGTGGCTGCTATCAGACATTAATTCAGTCTGTCTGCCAAGCCTGAACTTCCTTTCAGTTTAGTTGTGAGTCACACTGACAGTGTCTTCCTTCTGTAAGGTCTGAGCGGACGATTCATCATAACCTCACTTCCGACTATCTACCAGTAAGTTCTTGGTTATTTTGTGGTTTTCATTGCTTCCTCTTTTGTGTGACTGCGTCTGGTATGTGTTCTTCTAATGTGCACCATCTTGAAAAATATATCCAATGGAAACATCTAGTGGGTTTAACTAAGTTTAGAACCTTGTGCTGATTTAGCCTTTTTTCTAGTTTTCTCGTATAATGTGACATTAACATTTAAAACAAAGATGGTATCTTTGTATAACTCACTTACACATAATAATCAGTAAGGGGGGGAAATGTAACAGTTGTTTGCATGAGTTTCTGAATGTGCCACATTGGGGGTTAAAATTATAGATTCAGTCAAGGGGTGCATTTAATGTATATTTGTTACATATTATTTATTCTGATTAACAATTAAATCTTTAAATGTGAAAACAAACTCCAATCTTGAATCTAATTAGTGGTTAAATTGACACAATTATATAAAACAGAGGAAAAACAACCAAAATCCTCCCTCTTTAGAAGAGGACAATTCTCTTCATTGTCACCTAATTGATTCAGCACTATTTCAGTTCTTTCCCAATGTAACACTAACATAAAATCACTCGTTAAGCCACAATTTTCCAATGTTCAAACTGTGGCTATATACATAGAGATACATATATAGTTGCCCCCTAATTTAGATGTATTAAATTTGATCAGCCATTTTGCTTTCTTTGTCTCGGTCTCTCATCAACATTGACTGTCAATGTCACACTCTGTCAGGAGCACAGCTGCTTAAACACATTTTCTTGGATAATGTGTCAGTCCATGAGATTTTCATTACAGGAAATGTGGGTCATGTGCGTCGTGATAAACGCAGCACTTTGTGACAGAATTCAGCAGAATGTTTGTATCCGTGTTTGTGTTTCAGCTGTAAGGACGGCGTCTTCCGGAAGTACCAGGGCGCTCGCACTAAAGATGACTTCCTCAGCTTCGTTGATGAGCAGAAATGGAAAGCAGTCGAGCCGGTTTCCTCCTGGCTGGGACCATCTTCGTTTCTGTGAGTCCACTTGATCACGATAACGTGTAATAATGGGGTTACAAATGGAAGCTTTCCCTACAAACATTAAGGTATATTATTAGGGCTGTAATGAATAGTTTGAAGTCTAAATCAACATTCGAATGCTGTTTTGGAGTTTTTTGCGTTTCTGTTCATTGTGCAGGGTGTGAGGTTGGGACCCAGGTTACATCGCTGTCTCTGTTACTTTCTCCTATGCTCGTCTGTATTAAGAGCCCCCAGTCTGTCTGTTTGACCGAAGGCGGGACTGAACTACACGCACACACATGCACGCAGCAGACAGGATGAAGTGTGGCTTCAACTGGAAGCATTCATCGTGCCTTTACAAACCGCAACTGACAAATCCTCCTCATGCTGCCCTTACACGCCAAAAAAGACTCATTTAATCCGATAAAGGGCTCCTCTCAAATTGAGGATTTTGTTCGAGGATTCTAAAAACATTTTATTTATTTTTTTATAGGGTGACAACATCTTAAAATACGACGCCAGACATTCAAGGCTTTGTTCGAAAACCTCAAAAGAAGCTTTGAATGTAAAAAAATAAAAAATAAATTACATTCGTTACAGCCCTATATATTGTACGTCAATACCAAAAGAAGCTCCTGTGGTTATCATAAATGTGTTTTATATTGATATTTCCCACTCTTAAGGATACAGCCGTTTATCTTTTACAGCTTTCCACAGTGATAACAAACTCAACATCAGATATCTTTGCTGTTGGCTTTATTCGTAGTGTCTCTCTGTCTTTCTTCCACATTATGTTATTTTTTGTGTTCAGGCTTTGTAATAATGTTAAAGTTTGGCAAATCCGTGTTCAATGACATGCTGTCGTCTCTTCCTCTGTTGGCAGAATGAATTCAATGTCTGCTTTGTTCAAGCTCTCCATGTTTATCCGGGTAAGTGAGGATTTCACTCCTGGTAGTACTGACTGTCAATACGTAGGTTATTGTACATAGGAAAGTATTTATTTCATTTTCCATTCAAAGAAGGATGTTGCTGCCCAGTGTTAAATCTCATGAGGAAATCAGACAATGCAGTTCGACAGGAAACAGGGCTTACAAAATAATAGACGGGAAAAAAATCTAATTTAACTCACCAGTAGTGCAGACGTTTTAAGACACATTTTAAGCCTAAACAAATTATATATACAGCGGTTGAAGTAAATCATCCTCCCCGGTGTCTCAGGTTTTACATGTTTATAGTTTTTTGACAATGCAAAGACTAATCTGGCCTCTTATGTTAGATGTCTTGTAATTTACGTTATTAAAGGATGAGGCTGGCATTATTTCATATTTCTTTCATTGTCAACAAATTCCACAAAAAGACCAAAACCAGCATGTTTGTGTTGGTCTCTGCCTCTGACATTACATAGTACACAGTGTCAGTTTTTATAAAGGCTTTATTTGGGCACTGTAGTGTTTAGCAAACATTACTCAAACAGGAGGAAACACACAGTTTTCTGCTACGGATGAATACACATGTGGTGCTCTAGTGAGTATTTCTGGCAGGTTGGTGAGATTGAATCAAAATAAACTACAGTGCCCATATTCATCATAATGAAGGGACAACCCAGTGCAGCAGTGTGGCTCATTGATAGGATTTTATAAGTTTTTAAAAGAGCAATGAAGCTCTGTGACACGGGAGTAAGATATATCAGTCAGTTTGGCTACACAGATACTTGTTCATAGGATCAATTCACTGATAGTTTTGGTGTTTTTGTTGGATTTGTTGATTATTAGAAAAATACTGATTCTGTTATTTACCCTTGGTTGGTACCCTAAGCTGGGGGGAAAAGTGGTATCTGTAAGACATAAAAAACATACAACATCAATAATAATTCAACAGAATAACACGTTTGCATTTTATAAATATAGATAGATATTCTATAGACATATTGGCTTGTTTTTAAACAGGATTTGTGAAAACTAGCTCACGTCACTTCACTGGTGCAGGTCTGCAGAGAGCTATGAATGTATGGCTTCATGTCTAGAAACGTTACATAAATTGAACGAGTGGGCTGATGGTGGCGTCAAAGGAAAAGTCAAACAGGAGTCAAATAGCATTTCAGTCTGATTATCAGGCTACTGAAAATGGTTCCTCACAGCATTCTTATATTCATTTGATAATTTGATTTCATGTGTGTCAGTATTACTGGCTCTCTGTTTACAGTCTTAAGTGAAAATGTTTTTTTGTTTTCCAGCGTTGTCATAACTACATGACCGAGCAGCTGGGGATTCCTGTTTGGGGCTCTTATGTTATCTTTGGCTTGGCTACTCTGTTCTCTGGTCTTGCGTTGGGACTGGTGAGTACTTGTGCAGCACTTATTCACAGTTAGTTATAGTATAGTATAGTTAATGCTCTTGCAGTGTTTATTAAGTACTAACACATTGCAATGCCAGTGAATGAATGGTTGTTGTTGTTTTGTCTTTGCAGTTACTGGTGTTCATCGCAGACTTTGTCTTCCCCTCACGACGATTTTCATCTCCAGATTACTACCAGAGTGAGTTTCATATGCGATTGTACTGAATAAGAATATAATGATAATCACAACAACTTTATATTGCATTTGTATACATGCTGTTATACATGCACACAGAAACAACAGCAATAAAGAATAAGAGACAATATATGAGTAAATGGATACAACCGAAAACACACCAAGAATCAGAGTTGCTATTAAAAATTTAAATTAAATAATAATTAAAAAAAGGATATACTGGAAGTATTGTGTAAATTCACAAAAAGTCTGATTATAAAAGTGCATTTTCAGAAGGGATTTAACAAGTTAAACAGATAGCTAACCTGATGTTCTCAGGTAGGCTGTTCCAAAGTACAGGAGCCCTCATCAATAATGCGTTAATGTATATAATTAATAATAATATATAATATATTATGTTTAAGTAAATGACAGGAACAGATAACAGATCATTTGCTAGTAGTCAGGTTTTGTGTGTGTATCTGGATTTATGAATGGTCACTGACTGTTGTTCTCGATGTTACTCTGCAGAGAAACAGTCGATGCAACAGGCAAGGTTACTCCAACAACAAGAGGAAGAGCATGAGGCTGACGGCGAGGAAGACGACGATGAAGAGGACGAAGATGGCGACCAGGATGACGTCTGGAGTAGAAGGAGAGGGTCCCCAGAGGGCCGCCCAGAACCTAAGGGACAGGGTTTCTCTGACGAAGCTCTGAGGAAGAGGGTGGTGGGCAACCGTGAGGAGGAGGAGGAAGAGGAGGACACTTAGAGTCACATGGCCCCTACACCTTTTTGAGAAGAGCACCGTGGAGTCAGCGGAGTCGGAGGAGCCTTGGTCCCGAGCAGCAGTGTTTACAGAAGGGAGCCCTAAATGTCCCCTCCACCCCTTAACCTCCCCTTCTTCTCCTTCTCCTCTGGGCCCCCAGAAACACCTCGCTTCTTTTCTTCTCCTTCCCTTGTTTTTTAAACGGGAGTGCTTTTAGACTCACCACCGCTCTCTCCGCCTGAGCAGCAGGCTCCACCTGGAACAAGCTGAAGCACTCCTGATACCTGTTTCCACTCGTGGAAACAAACCGCCTGGCTGAGGTATGAAGTGCAGTAGAGATGGATTTTGCAATGTTGTTTATGCTATGCATCGTTTTTTAAAGATTGTTGTGTTTATTATATGTTTATCTCTGATTCATTATACAAGGCTTGGGTTTGAGGTTTATTTTGTTTAAATTTTATTATTCAGCTAATGTATACATAAGGTTACTTTGTGTTTATATATATTTTACATACACTCGACGGCCCAACAACAATGTTCACACACCACATATTCACCACATTCAGTGTATGATGGGGAAGAAATGGGCCCCAAAATGTCACAGCTGTGATCCTTAAGATTTCACTCCTGGTTGATTTGGCAACACTCGTGGTTACCGTGGTAACAGCAAGCGCAGTTTAATACTAAAACACTTGATAAGCAGCTACTTTTTGGTAATACAACAGAAGAGTGACGGATGTGTCTGGTTACAGTGCAGCCAAACAAACTTGCATTGTTTTAATTAAGAAGTACGTTGATAGGAACTGCGACAGTGATGCGGTGAGCAGTTTCCACACAACGGCAGGAGACGGTAAAGTGATGGTTACCTTATTGAGGTGGAGGTGTGCAGATCTGCGGCCGCTCCTTCATCTTCCATTACTTCCCACTGATGGGGGAAAAAATGCCGAAGATGGCTGCCGTCTTGTTTTGTAGATGCATTTTTGAAAAACAGACAAATCTAGGTGACAAATACATTACTTCACAATAAAAGCCCCCCGTAGAGTTGCCAGTTAATTTTTAATGAGTGTATTTTTTTTTTTTTTTTTTTTTTTTTTTTTTTTTTTTTTTTTTTTTTAAAAAAGAAAAAAAAAAAAAAAAATTATTTAAAAATTAAATTTTTTTTTTTTTAATTTTTTTTTATTTTCCCCCCTTTTTTTTTGGAAGTAAAATATAGGGTTTGGGGGTAAAATTTATGGGGTTTTATTGGGAGAAATGGAATATAATATTTATAGGTATGTTTTCATTAGTGTATAATCACCTGAAAATAATAATTGTTGTGTTTTCATTAGCTTAGAAGGAGCTGTTTTTATCTACAGACACCACAGGTCACCTTCCATGGAGGCCTCTATGTTGGAACTGCCATATTTCTACAGTAGCCCAGAAAGTACAATCCCAAACACTGGCCTCTAGATAGGGCCTATCGCGACTTTCTCGGACATCGTAGTCCCTGCTACACACTTCACAGCCAGTTCTCATTTTCATGTCGTCTAATACAGACGCCTGGCGGTGTTCAGTTCACCACTAGATGCCACTAAATCTGACACACTGGTCCTCTAAACCCAGTGTGGGAATGGCGGACTCCACCACAAACACTGAAAACAATAACTACATTAAATAGTTATAGCAGAAAAACACAGACCAAAAACAGTATTTAAAAATGGGTTTGATTTCATAGAAGTCTTAAGGATTATAACTTAAACACAGGACACAGGTTTAAATCTCCAGTTGTGTGTGAAGTCTGCGTCCTCTCTTCACAGCTACGTACAGGGCAGGAACCCTTCTTACAGCATCTGTGCTCAGTAATCACACCAAAACGCTGCAATCTTTCCTGATTGCAGAAAACTAGATCCCGCTAGGTAGATGCTGATTTTAAAAAATGAACAATATTCACATCAATTTAAAAAACCCTGGTGGATGTAGATACAGTGTGTCCCCATAATGTATCATACAATCAATCAATGGGGCGTTTTTATTTCATTGATGTTGTTTTTTTATGTTTACTTGTGATTCTCTAATTATTAAATGATGTTACTTAAAGAACCCAGATGTGTTGTCGACCTGTCAGTAGGTCTACAGTACAGTATATGCATGCCATAATACGACTAAAGAGAGGATCAATTTAGGGATTTTTATAAATTGTAAACAGAGAGAAGGCCGGCGTATCCGTCCTGACACTGCTCTGTATCGTGGAACAGTAAGAGGACTTTAATGAAGCTGTCTTGCTCAACAAAGGGAGGCATAATTCATCCTAATCTTATTCTAATCACTTTTAATTTGACTTTTCTCTCTTTTTTTTTTTCGGCTCAACTTGATTGAATTGAACCTCAACTTCTGGGGTTAATTTATCTAAAAGAGGGATTTTGTGTACATTGGTTTCTCTTTGAAATTGAAACACATTGGCACTTTATGCATCTTTTTCAAATATTAATGCCACTCTGAAGCTCAGCCTGTATCCATTTCAGTCTTGTACAGCAAAAAGGAGCCGTGTATGTATGTGTGTACGTGTCTGTGTGTGTCTGTGTGTACGACCAGTGTTTTTGATACACATTGCACTCTGTTGGTTGATGAGGCTTACTGTATGATGACATTAATCTTCACGCTTTCTATTCCAAATAAAAAAGAAGCTAATTACTCACTTCAGTGACGGTGGAAACAGGTTGTAATTTTTTTACCCGACCACTATTAACGGCTTGTAGCATTCACACTTTACTCTTCAGTCGGCTGTGCTCCTTTTATTGTTTGAACATTTCTTTTAAATAAAGGGTTAACTCTGGAAACACTGTCTCACTTTGGCTTTCTGTTGCTTCCAATAGTTAACTGACACAAATATGAACCTCAAGTATTTATATTCATCTCTGCTGCACAAAGGAAATAGAAGAGTTGCTCACAGCTGGAAAAGATTTAAATGGTAGATGCCGCTGAGACACTTCCAGGAACAGCCTGAAAAACAAACAAATATCAAATATTTGGCAAAATTGTACAGTATGAAGGTAAGAACATACTGCAACAGAGGTGGAAGAAGCATACAGATTATTTACTTTATAAAAACCACCAATACAACAGTGGAAGAAGTAAGTAAAAGTCTGGCTTCTGCTGAAAAGTGCCCAGTGTGACTGATATTATATGTGACATTACTAAATGGTTCATTCTGATGCATCAGTGTGTAAACAGCATTTTACTGTTTTCACTATTTAATATACAGTTCAGTAGTTCAGTCCACTGGTTCTCAACCCAGGGGGTCAGGCCCCTCTAAAGGGTCACAATTCAAATCTGATGGGTCATGAGATGATTAATGGGACAGACAAAGCTTGGGAAAAATATATTTAGATTTGAGCTCCATTCCTGGCCAGCAGAGGTCACTCTTGTACTCATTGTTCAAACTACAAGGAAGGTTTCTTTACATACGACATAAAACAAATGAAGACAAGAAACACAAGTCAACATAAACAGACACATTTACACAAAGTTTAAAAGACATATAGAATATAAAATAATAATAAGCAAAATAAAACAGGGGAGTACAATTAACAGTGCAGTGAAAGAGAAGGACAAACAGCAGACAGGAACATCCACCTCAAGGGCTACTAGTATATCAGAGAACTGCACTATAGGGCGCAGGTTCCCAACCTGGGGGTCCTGACCCCCACTACAGGTCACCAAAGCTTCACAGGGGGTCCTGAGGCCTTCTTGATTTTAAAGGGGGTAAGAAATGTATTTTCTAAAAATATACAGTAGGCCTGTATCTCAGCATTTCATCTATTTCTGTAAAGGAAACTAAATGAAAGTTGTTATTTTTCGTTATGTTTAAAGTTTAGATTATCATTTAAGATGTATATCTCACAGATAAGGGCCCGCTGGAGATCTAAACACAAGCTATAGTCACTGGGCCTTCACTCTCTGCTGAACAGCCTCGTCCTGATTTAGAAAAGTACGCAGTTAAAACAACAAACACTGAATTTGTCAAAAAAAGAAACCAATTAAGTATGTATGATTCTTAAAATTAAAAAATATTATAAATAAATAATTATTATTATAATAAATAATACAGATTTGTGTTTGAAGTAACTAAAAATATCAGGAAAACTCATCTCTGATCAATATTCACAGGAAATAATCTACTAAAAATTCATCCAAATTAATTCATCCACATTGAATATGATATGAAATGTCCATAAAATCTGAAACTTAATCAGGGATCGTCACTTTACTCAGTGATAGAAAGGTTGGGAACCAGTGTTTTAGGGTGACAGGAAATGTGCAGCAGCACTTAATGTAGCAAATGTAAAGTCCATTTGTTCTCCTCGGGCTCACGGTCACTCTCTTGAGTGGTGTTACTCCCCCTGGATTAAGAGGGGAGCTGGTCTCTGGGGGTCCATCTCTAATCAGTGCTGTCATGTCAGCTCGAGCAGCCTTCTGCACGTTTTCAGTTTACCAGGCTTTAATCTTTCTTAGGGTGGAAGTGGAGGCAGGTGTTGGAAGGGACTTCCCTGCTGCACCGGCCGGCTGCAGGCCCCTTCTGATGTTTCAGTGCAGTGAGATTGTACTGTGTGCACCCGAGAGCAGATGCTTGATAAAATCTGCCTGCACATTCAACTGAAGCTGCCTTTACTGGCTTTGATTTATCGGGCGTGTACAGATTTCCCTGCACTGGACGGGCAGTCGGCTGTTTTATTGTTCTGCAGAATAAAGTGAATGCAGATGGCACCGCCGCTGGTTTAGTGGTTTTTGTTCTCGTTCATTTCGCTCGCTCCGGTCCGTATGGTTTCCTTTTGTCCTTGTTTTAACTTCAACAGGAAACTTATTCTGCAGCAATGGAGGAATGCAAGAAAGTATAACACAGTTAAAGGTCCAGTGTGTAACATTGAGGAGGATCTATTGGTAGAAATGTAATATAATATTCATTCATTCAGGTCCTCTACGGAGTCCGCCAACACTGGCTCTAGATTGGGCCATTTGCATTTTAAGTTTTGTGACCACCATACTTTTCCCTCCACGCTTGGGATGGGATGGCAAAGTGAGGGCGTTGCAATTAGCTAATACAACACTTCCACTAAATCCTACACACTGGTCCTTGTAAGTAAGCCAGGGGTTGTCAAACAGGAGTTTTGAGAGGGTTTCAGGCCGTTCCCGGAAAGTTAGCCCAATGAGAGAATGTATAACAATAACTATTCTGTTCATTCACACTCTTCACTGTTAATCTACCAATCTACAGTATGGACAGTCTTTAAATAACTTAATCTTATCAGATGATTATCAGAGGATACTTGTCTGTGGCCTGAGGTGTATCAGTCTGGTGGTCCTTTACACCAAAAAGGTCAAAAATCCACTGCTTTTAGCAAGAAAGGTTCATAAAACTATTTT